AAAGCTATTAATGAGGAAATAGAATTGATTATTCCGTACCCCCTTATGTCTAGTTGTGATGATGAGAAAAATTTTGTGGAACCCGACAAACCAAAGGTATGGAGCCCAAAAATCGCAAAACGCGTTGAAATATCCTTGCTTGATCAATTAGAAGCTCTAGAAGATAAAATAGCTAATGCATCAATGCAAGTAAAACATTGGCAAATGCCACAACGTGAAAATGAATTAATTTTTGATCAAGATGAAGATGTCACCGAAGAAGACTTTGTTAGTATAATCCCAATGTTGCGGGAGAGAATTGCTAGCCTGGAAGCAGCTATCGAAAGACGTTATTTGAAACCGCCACTTGGCTTGCAAGTTGGTGATGCACAACTTGCAGTGATTGCACAAAATCAAATGAATAATCAACAGCAACAGCAACAGCAACTACCATCAAATCAGTTAAATGATCAGGCTCAATCGCAAACTAATCAAGCTAATTTTTCACAGAACAGTAACGATGAGTTTAATGGTACACAGAATGCTAATAATTTAGGTACAAACAATAGCTCTGGAGGGGAATCACCTTCGAGCGTATGCAGTGAAGAAGAACCACTTGAAAATATGCCTAAGGGACTTGTTCAGTGGCGAGAGGCTGTTGCACGTTCTCATACAACATCACAATTAGCAATGGCACTTTATGTTTTAGAATCCTGTGTCGCTTGGGATAAAAGTATAATGAAAGCGGTGAGTTGTTAGTTTATTTAATTTATTATTTAAATAGTGGAAAATAACTTTTATGATTGTTAAAAGTATTTTCAAGTATTTTCTCTAATTTATAAATTTGAATAATCTACTAATTATTACTAATCTCTATATGTTGTTAATGAGTTTATGTATTAATTTTTTACTAAATTTAATTAAATTACTTTATTAGTTATGAGTAGATAAGAAATTTTAAGTATATATTAAAATTGGATTTAAATTTACTCAAAAAGATATATTATAAAAACTAAAATTTTGCATTTTAATATAAAATAATTTTTCAATATCTATTTATTTTGTTAATATTTATTTATTCACTTCCGATTTATTTAGCATGAGCGCTATCATGTATACTACTAGACATGCATGTGAATGCAATAAGCACTGAAATTCAAATATTAAGAATAAAATATAAAAATTTTCTATTAAGATCCAATTCGCTCTTAATTTCAAATATGATGATTTATATATATAGATATTTTACCTGAATGAATATATTTTTAAACAGTTAAAGTTTCAAAAATCCATTTTTGCGAAAAAAAGCTATGCAGTAATAATTTTTTTGAAGAAGTGTGCTTAACTAAAAAAGAAAACATGGCTAGTAATATATATCGCGGTGGCATAAAAATTAAGTAATTATAATATTAAGTGTTATTTTATGTGTGATTTTAAACAGCATTATTTTGGTAATAAAAATCGAAAAAAAAAATTATTTAAAGAATTGACACTTTTCGGAAATAATAATTTCTAATTTTCGGTTGTTGAAAAAATTTCTCTCTGCGACATAAATCATTTCGTTGTTATTTCGTTATAACGTTTATGATTTTTCTGCTAAAAAAATAATATTAAAATTTAAAATTTATTTTCCTTATAAAAATTACACTATTCTTTACATTACCATTTTGTTATTTTTATTTTATTCGTGTAAGCCAATGTCCTTTGTAAAAAATACATGTGTATGTATGTATATTTATAAATTTTTTTAGCTTACATCGAAAAATCGAAAAAAAAAATAATTTAAAGAATTGACACTTTTCGGAAATAATAATTTCTAATTTTCGGTTGTTGAAAAAATTTCTCTCTGCGACATAAATCATTTCGTTGGTATTTCGTTATAACGTTTATGATTTTTCTGCTAAAAAAATAATATTAAAATTTAAAATTTATTTTCCTTATAAAAATTACACTATTCTTTACATTACCATTTTGTTATTTTTATTTTATTCGTGTAAGCCAATGTCCTTTGTAAAAAGTACATGTGTATGTATGTATATTTATAATTTTTTTTAGCTTACATATGAAATGATTCATTTCGAATTAATTTAGAAATAGCCCTATAATAGCAAAATAAACATAATTCATAGCATAATAAATAAATTTGTGTTCCAATATTAAATGTTCATTAGAACGAAAAGTAAAAAAAAATTCAATCATACCTGTTTTTGTATTTTTGTAAAGTATACAAAGGATTTGTTAATTTTTCCCGCGATTAATATTGATCATTAATATTTTAGTAAAAATAGCTTAATTTTTTTTTAAATATTTTCACTTAAATAACATTTACACGCGCTTACAATAAATATAACTGAAAAAACTAAATTTGAAATTCTTAATTAATAATTAACGTTAATGCTAATACAGATCTAAAAATATGAACTCTACTATGCCTTTAATTGTCTTTACAAATTATTAATGAAAATAATTTAGAATATAAATAAATAAACATTCAAATATTAAAGTTTATACCGATTTTTATGCTTTGAATTCCTTTTTTCGTGTTATATGATATTAGAACAGATTTTTGATTCTTTTTTGATCAAAATGATATGTTTTATAGAATAATAAATAAGAGATAAAGTGTCACATCTAAACGATTTTCTCCATTTCTCTATTTCTCTTTTCATGGTGAAAAATTTAAAGGTGCTTTTGTACATCAGATCAAATCTTAGATGAAATTTGATTGAAAATCTAATGCGTAATCGAAATCTGCCATCAGATTAAATCTGAGAGATAAAATAAAAAACTATCCGATTATTATCAGCAGTCCTATCATTAATTCCGCTCGTAGAATCCTACGAAGCAAAAACTTAGCTACAACCTAGACTTTTGAATGATCACAAGTTTCTTTCGTATCAGATCATGAATCAGCAATGGCAGCACAATTTTTCTTAGAATTTTAGTAATTCGGAATTGACAATATAATACTCGTAATTTAGGGCTGCGAACGAAATTCATGATAGGGCTGCAGATTTTCTTTCAGGTTTTTAACAACAATATGGCACAACCTGAATTTTTTTAAAAAATTTTCTCCGATCAGCTGCTTTTTATTCAGTGGATTGTAAATATTTAAACATTGCGGTCAAAAGTTTGATCTTCAGGAATAAAATGAATCTGATGTGTAAACTTTCATGAAATCTTTTTCTAAATTAAATCGTAGATTTAGTCTGATGTGTAGTTGGCACCTTAATTTTAGTCTTTTTATTATTAGACTTCTTTTTGACGTAGGAATAACTAAATATTAACAAAATAAAAGCTTTAAATGTACAAAAATGCTTTTTACTACAAGTTCAATAGTTATGTTTTTTAGATCTTATTTACTAATTCATAATTCCTTAAGTTTAATTTATTTCTTTTTTCTTTTCTTTTTTTTTCTTTTTCGCCAAATTAATATAACAAAAATGTATGTTTAAAACAATATTATATTATAATGTTATTAATCTGCCTGCAATTTTCATAAAAATAAAATTTAAAATAACTGTTTATATATTTTATAAAAAACAATCAAAACACAAAAAAAACTAAAATTTTACATTTTGTTTTTGTTTTTTTTTTTTTTTTTGTAAAAAAAACTTTCAATAACTTTTGTTTTGCCCTGCACGCATTTTCTAAACAATTGTTCAAAAAAAAAACGCAAATAAATTCTTTCTTGTTTATTAACAACTTTGTTAATTTAAATTTAATTTGCTGTGCGGTACTTTATTAATATTGGTGTATGGTTTTGGTTAAATAATATTATTAAATATGTATGTCTATATATATGTATATATATCAATATTTATATTTGTATGTTTAAATGTCTGTTATGTATCAATTTCACGATATATTTCATTACATTATGTATAAAAAATGTAATAAAAAAATACGCATACGTCAATTTCTGTTTAATTTTATTACAACACATTATTTCAATTACTGCTGTTCATTTATAACATACAACAAAAATTTTTATTGAATGAAAAATACTAAACATACATTTACAACAATTAAAAATTGGTTAAAAATCATACAATTATACAATAAATATTATACATACAAAAAAAATGAACTAATAATCAAAATACAATAATTATTATTTATGAAACTTATGATAGTCTTATGAAAATACTTCTAAATCTGATAAAAAAATTTCTAATAATAATAAACAAAAAAGAAAATCGAAAACTAATAAAATTGATGATGGACAACTAATATCAAATAAAATATTAAATAAAAAAATTAAAAATAAGAATTGCAATAATATTAAAAATGGCGATATGGTTAATAACACAAAAATTTCTTCTCCATCACCAATTAATACAACATTATCACCATCAACTGAATCAACTTTAATTGCAATGAAACAATTACAATCACTTGGGAAAAATGGTTTGACACAAAAACAAAAATTAATACTGCAACAGAATTGCCAATTTTGTTCATCTGGAGAAAACGAGGATAAACTTTTGTTATGTGATGGTTGTGATAAGGGCTATCACACATACTGTTTCAAACCTAAAATGGAAAACATTCCCGAAGGAGACTGGTAAGTATGAAAAATAATAACTTGCAATTAAAATCCAGTTTAAGAATGTAAGCGTTGAACATAACAAGTTAAAAGAGAATTATTTTTTTTTTCCCGAATAGTAAATATAAATATTGTAGCAAATATAAGCACAATTAGTTCCAAATTTTTACTCTTCATTTACCTTGCAATCTCCTTCATATGTAGAAACATACATGTATTACACATAATACATTTTGGTCTTATAACACATCTTACTGCTTTGCTTGTAACTATAATTTTTTTGAATATAGTTAAACAAAGTATAATTCATAAAAATGGGAAGTCCATACTGCTAGGTCGTAATGATCTGAGATGTAAATATGTATGTATATATAAGCACTCGCAATATGTTAGTTGCTCGACTAAGATGATGAAAACATTTCTCGTTTCGAGATGAAAACATGTTTACACAGCCAGTTTTTGCCTCGGAAGAGATTTCAGAAAAGATTATTAGATACAGTGGATTATGTTTAATAATAAAAACTAAAAGAACATACATATTTGAATTTCCTGTGATTCGTAAATTTCAAATATGTTCTAAAACATTGAAACAAGATTAGTTATGAGCTGTCACACTAAAGTTCAAAGTTTGTAATATAAAAAATTACATCCATATACCAGTAAGCATGATTGCAGTAAATGAATGGGTAACGATTTGAAATGAACTTGAATTTAAAACATAAATATGTACAACGATTATATATAAATATTATATTTTTTTTTGTTTTATTTTTCCTAAATGGAAAAAGAAAATTCAAGTTGCTTTGGATTCTATCTTTTAAATTTTTCCATTTGGAAGATAGGAAAGGTTTGATACTTTAAAATTTCTAATGAATCTTTTTAAAATTTATTTTTCTATTGAATTTAACAATCGATTTTTTTAAAATTTGAACGTTAAATATTCAAAAAATATGTAGAATCAGCATAGTTAGAAAAATTAGTCAATTTCCTTTATAGAAATAATTTCGAATAACCCTTATTAATTTCATTCAAATTTACAATTTATTTTTGATTTATTTCTAAGCTTTGTCTGATATAGGAACATATGTATATGGCACTAAAAAGATGATAAAACGATTTCACTTTATTCTTTTTTTTTGAATATTACTTCATAATTCATAATGCATTATGATTTATATTTGCTTATTTTGTTTATTTTGTAGACAATATGTAATAACTTTATAACAATACATATTACGAATAAACAATATGTAACCGCTTCCGCTCCATAGCAGACTTATTTAGAAATTATTTCATTTGTTTATGTACTTAGAATATTATGATTATACAAAGTTATCTCGTATTCTTTTTGCTCGGAATTTGTGTATTATGTACAAGCCATAATAATGTCCGCGAATAATGGAGTTTTACTCCTTGCTGCAATTCTTACAAGTTTATCTGAATTGTTTAGAGTTCTATGGCAGCTGCCATATAATCGTAATAATAATTTAATCTTATCTCAGAAAATATTCAGCGCAATTGAACTAAAAATTTTCTTATTTCTAAAAAAAAAAAATAAGTGTTCAGTTTTCAATTTTTATATATTTTTTAAGAGTAATAATTAAGAAATAATTTATTTTAAAAACTTTTTTCGCATTTATTATTTTAATACATCTAGGTATTGCTATGAATGTTTAAATAAAGCAACAAATGAACGAAAATGTATTGTTTGTGGGGGTCATCGTCAAGCACCTGTTGGTAAAATGGTATATTGTGAATTATGTCCAAGAGCTTTTCATAGTGACTGCTATATACCACCGCTTTTAAAAGTTCCACGAGGTAAATGGTATTGCCATGGGTGTATAGCTAAAGCTCCACCACCGAAAAAACGTGCCCAAAAACGAAATTCTAATAAAGAAATAAAAGAAAGAGATAAAGACAAAGATACAAGTATTAAAGAAAAAGATAAACAAAATAAGCAACCAAACGATCATCTCTCGCAAACCCCGCATAATTCATCATTTCAACGATCGGTGCATTCTTCACACGAAGAAACCACATTAAGGTAAACAACATTATTTTTTTTTTTTTTGAACATACCTTTTTTAAGTTTCGGTTGTATTTATGTTATTATATTAACAACATTGAATATTGTAACTGAAATTTTTAATATACTAATATACCCATAAATTTTATTTTAGCCCAAATAATTCTATTGCTTCAACCTCTTTTGATGATCTTCAAAATAATTCTATTGACGGAGCTTCAAACAATAAATATCCATCAATAGTAACGTTACCACCACAAGCATTACCTTCAATTTTATCAATGACGGCAGCAACTCCCAACACGCCAGTTAGACCGACAACTCCGACAACATTGCCCATTTTGAATAACGAAAACAATAATATGTTAATGGATACGTCAACATCTGATGATACACCAAATTCAAGTATAAATCCAATGCAACAGTCGCAATTATCACCTACAGTGTCGATAATTTCTAATACATCTCAAGGATCAGTAGCATCATCTACACCAAGTCAGTCTCAATCGTTACAGCCACAGCAACAACAACAGCATCAACAACAACAACAGCAACAACAACAACAGCAGCAACAACAACAACACCATCAACAACATCAGCAACAAAAACAACAACAGCAACAACAACAACAGCTACAACAACAACAATCGCAACAGCAAACACAACCTCAACAGTCTATTCAACAGCAGCCATCAGTACCATCGACACCTCCGCCATCATCCTCAGTGCCAGACTCACCACCACCTCCCACACATCAACAAATTCAACAACAGCATTTGCAAGTTTTAAATGAGGCTAAAGAAAAGTTAAAGCAAGAAAAGAAAGAAAAACACGCGACGAAAAAATTGATGAAAGAGCTTTCAGTTTGTAAAACTTTACTTGCTGACATGGAGGTGAGACCCTATTTATTTTAGCAATAAATAAATTCCTTTCATTTTATTTTTTTGTAAAATTTTCGTTTCTTATTTAATTTTGTATTTTTAAAATTTTTATTGCTAATGAAATTCTTATAAAGTATGTTATTGATTTGCATTTATACTGAAATAAGAGAATATTTTTTTTTCATTTTGGTCTTTTTATTTCAAAACAATTATATACTTATGATTATCAAATAAATAATAAAGAATTAGTAATTTTTCTAATAATTTTAAGAACAATTTTTAAACACTTTATTTGCCCATCTATAATTTTTTTACACTTATGTTTTTTTTTTATATCCTTTATTTGTCTTTTTTTTATTTTTAATTTGATTGATGTCCAATTTTCTAACCTTGAAGATTCATGAAGACTCTTGGCCATTTTTATTACCGGTTAACACAAAACAATTTCCAACCTATAAGAAAATAATAAAAAATCCAATGGATTTATCGACAATTAAGAAACGACTACAAGATTTAGTGTAAGTATATTTTTATGATTTTCCCTAATTTTTATTTTTTAAACTTTTCGTTGCTTTTCGTTTTTTTTATTTTAATCATAATTTATTTTTCAATTTATATTTTTATTTTTACCGTATAATTTTATTTATATTTACAATTTTATTTTATTTGATGTGACAAACGGTGTATTTGTAGTATAATGAAAAATTACATCATTTAAAATGAATTTTCAACAATTAATTTCAGTTTAGCTTTTGGGACTAAAATGAAACAAAAAAATGTTTTTCAATTTCAAAGTTTTATTTTAAAGTTAATTGTTTGATTGTTTTGATGCAATAAAATTGAACATATAATATAATTTCTACATACTCCCACATTGATAATTTTTTTTTTACCCATACCATTTACATATTCAGCAAATTCACGATTTGCAATTCAGTAGTAAAGTGTCCTTTTCGAATTAAAGTTTTCACTATTTTAAAATAAATGGTTTTTACTTTATATTTCATATAAAAGGTTTAAATTACTTTTTGAGAATGCCAACACCATATTTTACCTGTATTTTATCTGGTATAATTTATCTAGATAACTATAATATTGTGTTACCTTAATAGGTAATATAAGTATGTACTGTGGAGTTTAAAATGTCTATTTTTTTATTAATTCATTTTTTTTCGACATACATTACTTTGAGATATTGCATTTTAAAAGATTCTTTCATTCATATCAAATAAGAATGCTACATATCTAATATAATACGTTAAAAGCAAGCTTTTTTTATTACTTCACAAATATTTGAATTATACTAAAAAGAAGGAAACAGAACAAAGATTGTGTTTTTTTTAGTTTTAAAACTCTTAATTGTTTAAATATTTTTTCAAATATACATTTTTCACTTTATGCAAAATTTAATTGACCAAATTTATTGGTTAGCATGATTTAGTTCTAATATTTTTAAAAGCGAACTCAATTTGTTACTCTCACCCATATTTTGTCAGCCTTATTATTTTGGGTTTGCCTCATAGACGTGATGGGTTTTTATTCAAAAATTTTGAATTTTCCAGAATGAAAACAATTTGAAAATTTGAAATTTTAACAGAAAACTGGAATTCTTTTCAATAATATGTTTTCGGTTTTATTCTTCCGTTTTCTTTTTATTGTTCTGAATCAGAACGTTAATGTAAGAAATATATTTTACTTTGAAGTTTGGATTTCAAAAATAAAATTTAAAAAATCGAAATGATGTTAATTTATTATTTAATATTTACTTCTTTTTTTATTTATTAATTTTATTTTTTATTTTAAATTAAAAACAAAAAACACACAATTGGAAGAATTTGAAAAACATCCATTGGAAAATTATAAAATTCTGTAATTTTTTCTTTTAAATGTTTTGATTGTTTATGAATTGAGCAATTATTCATTTCTAAATTTAGATTCTATTAAAATAAATTCGGCCATTTTTTTTGAAAAGATCAGTGGATTGATTTATGGTTATATTTTTTATTTCTTTATTTCAATATGAGAAATGATCATAAAATATATAAAACTAAATCGTAAGAGGAGCTTATGTAAACAAAGACATATATATCAACATTAAACATTGAAATTTTCTGTGTTAAAATTAAATTCCTTGTTAATTCTTAATAATTAAAACAGAAGTTTTTAATAATTACTTGTTTTATAGTATTCTAATTTAAACTTTAATGAAACTTATACCTCCTCAAAATATATTTAATTGATTTTTTTCTTGCTATGTACTAATAAGTATGAACTAATAATGGAAAAAAAGGAAAATAGCATATTTTTAGATTTAACTTTTCTACTTAGAAATTAATAGCTCGTAACTAAAATATTAAACATCTGTATAAATATATATTATTAAAAACAACATATTAGTAGTATGCTGTGCGTAATGTATACCATTTAATGGTACACAGTAAAAAAACTATTTTTTTAAGTTATTTTGTGCTTAAAATTTAAAGAAATAATCGTTTTACATTAGACGTAACTAAATCTGCTGATCTTTCTTTTATCAAGTTTTGCGTTAACCTATAATATATCTTGATTTGAATTTTTTTTTCTTTTATTCCAAAATTTTTATCAAAATTTATAAAAACTAACTTACGGTATACCATACCCACCCTAGCACTTATTTTTAATTTTTATTTCTTCTTTTTTACGAGTTCGTTGTTTTTAATTTTTTTAAGTAAAATATATTGCATGTATTTCATTTAATCCCCATTATGATTTATGTAATTTGCTTTTGCTACCTAAAAACCAAATTTTAATCTCACTTTTCTATGATTCATATAAAAAACAATCCAATTAAATTTTTTTTCAAAAAAAAGGAGAACCACTCTCTTATCTCCATGTCCATCGTGTTTTAATTAATTGCAAGCAAAATTATTTGAGATATAATTTTAAATAGTATTACTATTTAAATTTATTATTTATTTAATATTTTAATTAGCATTAATATTACATGTGCATATTACCAAATTGAAACAAAAATTTTTGAATTTAAATTTTATAATGTTTTACGATTTTCATTCTTTATAGAAATAATAATTTTAAATTGACAATTCATATATATGGGTATGTTTAATTGGTAATTTATATAGAACGTACATATAATTGAGAATTGGTAAATAGAGCAAATAAGCTGCTAAAACGAAATTTATTACAATGTTATTAATATAATAAATAATGTTGTGGCATAAATAGACTGAAATTTCGGATTACTTTAGGTATATTTATTTAGTTCAAATTTAAGGAATTTTCGGTTAAGTTGCCTTAAAAATTAAATATCCATTCAAAAAATTTATATTCATTATTTATATTTTATTTTCATATAATAGATACATACATACATATGTATTTTACATAAAATATACAAAAGACAATTTGAAAACTATAATAAAATGAAAACAAGGAGTAAAAAATATTGCAATTTATCACTGAAAAGGTAATCAGCTTGTCAGTTGAGTACAAAATGTATTACTGACATGAAAATTAATCATTTGATATTGAAACAGAAAACGAAAATGCTCATAATCTATAACATCACGTAGAAATTTCCTGTGTTAACATAAAAATATCTTAAAAATGTTGCGTATATTTATGTAATCTTACTTTTTAAGTCGAAATCTAGTTTCAAAAACCGAAAATGAAACAAATGTATGTATATGTGATCATTAGGAAGCTATTTCAAACTTGGTTTTAAGAATTGCCTTGAAAAATTAAAAAATTTTTTTTTTTACTTTATTATTTTTCCAAATACTTTCAATTAAACTATATTACATATTAATTTTGAATTTGTGTTAATATTTAATTTTATTTTATTTTTTTTTTTTATTTTTTTTCTCAATAAAAAACTTTTAAAACAAATTGCAGTTATAAGTCTCGTGACGAGTTTGTTACTGATGTTAGGCAAATATTTGATAATTGTGAAATGTTTAATGAAGATGATTCCCCTGTGGGTAAGGCTGGACATGGAATGCGAAAATTTTTTGAAGTAAGGTGGGCTGAATTAACAGATAAACATTCATGATATCAAATGCATCACTTAAAGTATTGTAATGATTAAAAAATATATAACATATTAAATAAGTAATCGACATCATTTTTAATTTAGAATGTTTAAAAAAATAAAATTATTAAAAAAACTAAAAAAAATTAGAAAAATAAAAAAGTATAAAAAAATATATATTAATTATACTGTATATAAAAAATACCAATTATAAATTCGTAAGTATTCAAATAATATTTAAAAAAAATTGACAAAAAATAAAAAATTATGAAGAGTAAAAATAAAACGCTGCAAGCACGAAAATAATATTAAAATATATAAAACTAAAATAGAAGTAAAATTTTATTTCAATTAAATATAGAAATAAACATAAAAAAAATTAAAAGTTAAAAAGAAAAAAGTATTGAATCATCCGTAAAAATGAATAATATTTAGATTTAAATTATAAAATAAAAAGTAATATAAATATAGAGATTAATTATGCGAATAATATTTATATTTATGCGTATATATAATATATATTATATACATAGCGTAAATTATACAAGTATATGTAGCTTAGAAATTGTCTTTTGCTCTATAATTATTTTACATTCATAATTTTTAATGTGAAAATTTTTTCAAAAACCTCACCATCAGAAATGAAACAAAAATTTCTTTTTATTATATAATATTCTAGTTTTTAAGTTTTAATTGTAAGATGCTGTAAGTTGCAATGAAATTTATTACAACAAGAAAAAATAATACGAAAAAACAACATTTTTTTTATTTATGGTATTTTTTCAACATGTACACATCATTATGTGTACATATATTTTCGATTTGTTTGCAAGAATTAAGATTTTAATATATGTAAATCGTAATATTTAAGAATTTTTCTTAATTTTTATATACATAAATAAAGCTACTCATAAATAATCTATAATTTATTGTAATTTAAATATTTTTTTTATAAATAATGAAAAAACAGAATAAATCTATTATTGGCAAACAATTTTTTTTAATACATTATCATGTACTTATAGTTAAAAAAAATGTTTTATAAAATGTAGCTTGATCTTTACCTAAAATTGTATTTCTTAACGCAAACTAATAAAGTTAAACTTAATATAAAAAATAAATAAATTTAGTAAATTAGTTTAATCGTTTCAAAATTGTCAATTTTGACAATGAAATTATAAAAAAATGACAGCTATTATAATAGAAACTTCCCTTGATAAAATTTTATCTAAAAAATTATTGAAATAGAGTATTTTAGCATATTAATCTTAAAATATTACATACTAATATATGTACTATGACCGTTCACAAAATTTTTTTTCTAAAAATTTTTTCTGTTTTTTTCACAGATAAGTTTTGAAAATTACTAAAAAGTGTGTTTAATTAGCAACAAAGCACACATAAAAAGCAATAACGCACACTTCAACTTTACGTGTAAATCGTTTAATCTCGCTAATACCTAAAATTAGTCCCGTAAATACCTGAAATTATAAACTATGTATTTCTCGCGTTTGCTTTTTTATTTAAATCAGAAATCGTTTATTCGACTCTATTGATCAAAATAATAATCCAGAGGTGCTATTGCTTAATGAATTTTAAAATGAATTTATGACAATTTAAAAAGAGAAACAGAAAACGATTTAAATCGTATCCGCAAGAAAATGAAATTGTTACCATATTTTTGAATGTAATTAATGTAAAATAAAAAAACCCTTAACGAAATTTCAAAAATATTGTAATTTTTTAAGATTCAAAAGTCAAAATAAATTCGTAGTTTATATTCATTCGTAAGAACCAATAGTTTTTCATCCTGTTGGGGTTACCATATAAACTAAAATTATTAAAGAATAAGGATAGTTTTGCCAGTTTAATTTTGTTAAAATTACTCTTGAGTACTCTATTAATTGTTGCAATTTAAACATTTTCATTTAATATCAAATATGTAATATATTTTTGGCAATTCTATAAAGGCAAAACAGTTCACAACTTATAACAATTTCACTATATTGCTAATAATTAAGTATTTATGAACGAACTTGTTCGTAAAAAAAATATTTTCATTTTCTAAGACAAAAAATTTTTTTGATATTTTAATTTATTTTAATTTAACTTATAAATTGTAATTGCAGTGTTTTGTAATAGAGCTTTACTGCAATTTTGAAGTTGTGGTTGATTATTTAAGCTTTGTAAAATTTATTACTAAAATAATAAAAATATGTATGTTTTGTAAGACACCATATTTTTCCGTTTACTTTTCATTTTTCTAATGTAGAATTTTGATAAGAAAAAACTATCGTTAAATTGTATATTATGTATTTTAATAGACGAAAATATTAATAGAAACAGAAATTTTTAGTGAAAACCTTGGTACGTGGAGGCTCATAGTGCAACCTTTATATTTTAATGTAATGTTACTTTTTCAAAACAAGAAATATTTTTTATTTTTATTTTGGGTATTCATCATGTTTATATGCTATTATAACATTAAATACAATCGTTCTATACAAAATATTTATAAACAATACATCAGCAGCGTTCATAAAAATGACATTTTGGTGTAAAAGTAATTTTGTCATTTATTTGAATATGAAAGCATACAAAACGAATCAATTTTTTTTATTTACAAAATTGCATCAAAATCACATTGATAACAAAACATTTTGATTACTGAAAACTATTCTATTTTTTGTGTCTTTTTTATTTACATTTTCTCATATTTATTTACATTTTGTTCTCATATTTTATTTTTAGTAATTTTTTTTTATTTTGGAAAATTTACCGGCAAAAGATCATTTTGTAATACTTATAATGTTTCAAATTATGCCACGTTTTTTTTCAAGTGTAGACTCTACAATAATTTTTATAGAAAATTTTATAGATTTCATTGTTAATATAAAACAATGGAGATTTTTGATAATTTAGATCTAACTTAGATCTTATAAAGCACGTTTGATAAATTCACTGTGAAAATTAAAAAAATAGCATATGTTTTCAAAAATAGAATTAAGGCTTAAAGCTCAAAGGAATTTTTAAGTTTTATAGCTATGGGCAAAATATTATAAATTAAAAAAGAGCATAATAGAAAATAATTGGATATTGAAGAATTACTCCAGTATATTACAAATCAGCAATAGTAATTTTTCTTTTTATTATAAGTTAAATTCAATTTCTGCAGATTTGCAAGTGCGCGTTAAAAGACTTTTAGGATTTAATGTAAACTTTTCTGCCTAGATTATCGAAAATCCTCTATTTTTTATTTTTATTCTAAGTTTTTATATTGATATACGTGGAACACATGCGGTTGATGGTTGGTGCTATTATGGTACAATAAAAAATCTTTGTGTTTTACATAACAGTTTGTAGTTTGAATCTAATTAATGTTTTTATTTTGATAATCACAAAAGAAAGAATTTACCTAGGCATTAAAAAGAAATCATGCCAAGAATAATTGAACTGCTTGAATTTTTCAACAAAATTGTAATTTTATTTTCAAATCTGCTTCCTTTACTTATTCAACTTGTAAGTAAAGTTTTTTAAATGTTTTTAAATAGATACACATTAAAAACATAGTGAATAAAAAACTTTCATTATAACTTCGATTGAATATATACTGAGCTTATTTGGAATGTGTGTAAAATAAATTTGAATCGAATTGACTTTAAAATATGAAAACATTTATAACGAATTCTAAAATACAAAAATATATTTATTTGATTTTTTTTAACACGATAAATTTTGTACTTTTTTTTTTTTTTTTTCTGTAATTCTAAATATTTTTTCCATTTTGTGATTTTGCAGATCATGTTATAGAGCTTAAATTATTTTATTTTGATAACATTTTAATAATGAGTATAAAATTAAAAAAAAATTGAAATAAAAACAAACAATAGAAATTTAAGTTAATTATTTGATAATAATATAAATAAATAAATATGGATGTTACATGTATATAATCAATAGTTTATTATTAAAGTAAGTTAAGTTGGGAAGAAATTAAAAAAAAGGTAACTAAATTAGATTCTCTTGTATTTTAATTAAGTATGTAAAATTATATTAATAAATCCAGAAATTAAAATTAACAATAATAAAACAAAAAATAAATGATTTAAGCTACATACATTAATTAATTTCTTAGAAGCATATTTATGAAAACAAGACAAAATTATGGAAACATATATGTATATATTTCAAATAATGAATAATTTAAATTATGTATATATATATATTTTATTATAGTAATTATATTCATACATTGGTTTACTCATATATACTCATATATAAAATATATATCTATCTATTAAACAAATAAATATAGCTATATATTGTCTCCATATGTTCCATAATTCAATATTAAAATACAATTTTGGCATTTAAAATGTCGGCATATTTAATTGTATTTTATACAATTTCTTAAAAGATACTTTTGCGCTAATATTTTATACACCACACAAAAAATTCAATTTTATTTTTTCTTGTAAAAATTGTAAATTTACAAGTAAAATTGATTTTAGACTTAGTAGCAAAAAAAGTAATTTAAAATTTCGAAATATTTTTGGTATTTTCTTATTCTCTATATTATTACTTCTTCTATAGATACTTGGTTTAAAATTTTAAATCCAGGAAATAATTTATTATCATATTCAAAATGTTAATAAAGTTAAACGGTTTCATTTAATTTTCCGTTGTTTAACAAAATCGAAAAAAAAACTTTTTCAAGTTGTGTGTTTCCAATTTCAATAAAATCCAAATTTCCTGCTTATTTTGTGGTGTAAGAATCATTAGCGAAAAATGTGTATTAACATAATATCTATAACATATGTACGTGTCCCCTTGTATTTATATATTTATGAAATGAAATTTATATTATGTACCCATTTTATGTATAAAAGTTATTAAACAGAAAAAAAACTTAATAAGAAACGCATATAAAAAAGAAGAAATTATTCAAACCGTTCCAATTATAGGAAAAAAACGTATTTTTTTTTATTTTAAGTTTTATTTTTAAAGTTATTTTTTTATAACTATAGAAAACAAAATATTATAAGTAAATTGATTTTCTTATTTTTGAACTTATATAAGTTAGTTTTTACACTTTTTTATTTACTCATTAGTCATTTTTTATTTTAAAATTGAAATATAAATTTAAAAATTAGAAATGACAAACATGTGTTTTATTTGCAATCTTTTATTTATGCAATTCCTTTCCAATTGACACAAAGCTTTCTCCAATTTTTATTAACTACAATATTAATTTGTTTTATTGACACAAATAAAACAAATATGTGATTACTTATAATTTGTGATTTTTAACGTCATCCTATTTTCATTTTTTTGTAGCATTTGTAGCATCACGTCAGCAAAAAATATTACTTCTGCATCAATTAATACGAGGAAACATATTTGACGTGACGTAGTGATTTGAGAGCCCGTTCGGCGAGTTCTGTTATAGTGTCTGCGGCAATACTTTCTAAGGTTCCGTCGGATCGTAGGGTCGAAAGAGAGAACGACTCACTTATAGTCATTGAATCAAGAAAGACTGGGCGGAATTATACTATTTTCGGGAGTGTTGCCAGCAGATGCAAGCTGGTAAAGTTCCGTTAGATTCACCAATACTAGATGACTAAAAATTCAACTATTCTTGCATGTATTATGGAGCTCTTGAATTCGTGCATAAGTTTAACATGTTCACCCACATTCTGATAGTCATATCGCATGCAAATAGCACTTGAAGTGGTACCAACACGTCTAATTCAAATTCTGATAGTCGTAGAAGTGATTGTTAAGTGGCACAAAGTTTGAATTTTTTTTATTATTTCAATATTTGCATTCGATAGGCCATAACGCTGAGGTCTTTTAGCTTAATTGTATAAATAAAATGAAAAAATCAGCGCTAGGATATATATCATTGATTAGGGAATCAAAAATGGGCTTTAAAAGTTTTCGTTTGGAACAAGTTGTTAAATCTCAACGGTTTTTATCAAAATAACGGTGTTCAAAAATTTCAACTGCTTTTTGTAGCGATCATTGTGAACAAAAATTAATAATAGTTGTTAATTACAGGGCTTAAAAACAATAAAAATTAAAAATAATTACGATTTTTTGAGCTCCTACATTTACTAGGACTTTAAAAATCTTCACGTAGAAATGGTTTTTGTGCTATTTCTTCTGTAGCACAAAAGATTTTTTAACATTTAGTAACTTCAATTAAAGATTAAGGGGCTAAAATTGTGTAAAAAAAATTTAGGTTTCAAAAAATTTTGTACGAAATTAGCGGGTTAGAGAAAACAAAAATTAAAAATTGGCCCTTTACTAGTCCTGAACTATTTGTATGAACCTTTAATCTTTTTCAGAAGGGAAAAAGTAGAAAATTCGTGAAATGTCGTAAAAAAACTTTTTTATCTCAGAAACCTTTGTCATTTGACAATTAGATCAAAAAAAACTTGTACCCATTTTCGATACCTTCACCAATATTATACTTCTTCCTGAATCATCTTGTATACTTATCCTTCGGTATAAAAACATATATACATACAATGTTTCTTTAAAACGCTGCAGAAAGTTGCAAGAACTTAATGATAATATTGTGAGAAATGAACGTAACCCAATGAAAATCAAATGAATTGATAAATTTGTGGAAAAATGCATTTAATCATATACATATTTCCGTTAAAAATACATGATAATTATTTTAGAAACTTGGAAATAACGATAACTTTCCAAAAAACTATCATTGAATCTATTTTATTTTTATGTACTCCATAATAAATTTGTGGGAAGTGATCGTCATCCAATATACATACATGCTTTTATAGATAGTTAAATGCACTGATTATTTTGCAGGCTAGTTCGAAAAATGTAATCGAATTGAAAAACTTGGGATATTTACAGCTAAAAAATTTTTTTTGTGCACAGTTTATCTTACGTCTCCTTATCGTAGCTCAAATTCGAAGTAATATTAAAACTCTCTTCATTCCAACTTCAATTTCACTTTTATTTTAAAATATAGTAAGTTAAAGTATTTGTGCGCTATAAGTTGTAATTATAGTATAATATTGTATGTACAAATACATACATTATTATGTAAGATATTTTCCGCCGCGTTGGCGTTCTTAAGTAATATTACAATGTTTTTGAAGTTTTTATTTTTGAAGGACTTCTAATATTTTTTAATCCGACTAATATACATTGTTGGTGTAAAACTATCTTAACAATTAAAAAAAAAGCAAATAAAATTTTGTAGGGAAAAGCTTTTTTTATTAAAATGTAGAAAATAATTCTCCAAAAACCCAAAAGGATGAAATTGCAAAACCTATTCCTATATGTATACATGTATGCACGCACTTGCATGTGTATATGTGTTTGTGCATGTGAATCAGTGTGTAACATGAAGATATTTCACAAACGCCAATTATATAAATATTTATTTTTAATATATTCTTGGTACCTTTATGTTTCATTATGTAGTGCTTTTCAATAAATTGAGCTTTTTCAAGTTAGCTTTTGTTTTTACTTAAGTACGAGGTGGGTACTTTATGTGTTTTTATAAGTATATATTCTTTTAAAAATAAAGCAAAATTAATGTGAGTGAAAAAGAAAGTCAGAATTAAGTAAACTTTCACTGCGGGCGGTTCAGAAACTTTTAAAAAAACGAGTTTAGTTTTCTTGCGTTTACTTTTATTTTATGAAATTTTTTTTTATTGAAAATATAAAAATAAAAGCAGAATTGCAAACAAGTGCGTTGAAAAATAAAAAAAATTGAAAACTTGAATTTATTATTGAAAGAATCAAAAAGAAGTTTTTGGAAAAAAAATATATATATGTATAACTAAAACTAAATATATAACTAAAATTTTTTACCAATTAAAAAAAATAATCTACAAAAATAAATTCAACTAATAAAAGTAGGAACAATATATACCTACATACATACATATATACATATACAAGTAAATGCACGTATCTTACTTTAAAATAAAGAAAATATTTAAAGTGAACAAAAGGATAATTTTGCATGTGTTATACAAGAGAATTGAAATAGAGCTATACATATGTATATAAATAAACCTACACACATATGTATATGTACATAAGAAAAAATTAGTTAGAAGTATTAAAGGTAAAAAAACTTATGTACCTACTAGCCTTTATTAAAGTAACCAAAAAAAAACTTTCAAATTATGCGCTTTTTTGTTATAAAAAATGAAATTAAAGAGAAAAAATAAAAAAATGGAAGTCAAATTGATCAATTCACTAAAAGAAGAATAGTTTGCGTTTTTTACAGTCATAAAAAAAATATTGTTATAGGAACATATTTAGTAACATTTCTTTTAATGTATATGACGAAATGTTTGTGGAAATTAAAAATGGAAAATCAAAAGCAACAATTGCGAAAATCGGAAGTAACTTTCTGTGTTGTGTGAAATTATAAAAAAAAGTCAAGATTATTGGAAAACTTATTTTTAAGTAAAAAAAAATTACATATGGATTTACGTAAAATATATGTATAAGTTTTTTTACATACATATGTATGTATATGTAAGTGATGTGTTATTTATATCAAGCATATATACATTATGCTCAAAAATATTATGTGTGCGGTGTGTTCTATCTAACCTTCGTAGGATTTTATTTTTCGTCTTAAAGGAATTACATACCTACCTTACCTAACGAAACTTTGATGTCTTTAATTCAATCTTTAGTTTTTGATTTCATTATATGTTACTAGAAAAACTTTTACTATTTCCTGTTGTAAATTCTTAATTTTTATGTAAAAATTTATATGCATAAAAATATGACGAGAATAAAAAAAAATCAAGCGATCGAGTTTTTTATATGTATATAAAAAACTCTTGGGTACTTATATTTGGTTATAACGGAAGTTATATATATATATATATCTATATATGTTATACTAACTAATTAAAATATACATAACTATATAAAAATATAACTATTATAAAAAATATTTACACAAATATACATAGGGGATTTGATTAAAAAAATTAACCAAAAAAATAGTACCTCCACATCTTTAATTTTTCAATAAATAATAATGCATTAGGTATTTTATTATATTAATTGTAGTTTTAAAATAAAAAATATAATTATTTTTGTAAGCTTCTCTTGTAGTTTATATTGTTTAGTTTTCGCGTAATTTTTAAATTATTACATGAAATTCAACGTTTTTAAATTATAGCACTTTATTTGCTAATGTTTATAAGATACATACTTCAGATACTCGTTATTCAAACTTTTATTATTTTCTCTAGTATACATTCGTACGTAATATAGGCATATAACATATGTACATATATATATTTTATAAAAATTAAGTTTATTTAGTTAAAAAATGTTCGTACATCTCGTAAGTAATTTTAATTACATAAGCGTTACATTACAATGTTTTTATTTTTGTAATATGTGAGATTTAATTACCATAGAATGTCTTTACATATTATGTACGCATGTATTTGCATATATGTATCATTTGTCTTTGAATTTAACAAAATAGAAGATTTAAAAGACCATTTAATATTATTATTTAAAATTTTTTACTATTTAAATTAATGAAAATTTTTTTTTTATAAGCAAAAATTATGTTTAGGTGGTATACAATAAGTACGTTTGTGTGTATTAATCACAAGCGGTTTAAAATTATTAAAATGAAAATTATTAAGCTATAAAAAAAGAATACTAATATAAAATGTTTTTCTAAAAAAACGTGAAAATTCATAATTAATTCATTCCTAAAGAAAGATTGACGACGTCATTTTTGAATTTTGTTTGTATTTTTTTCTTTTCATTTTTCACAATTATTTGTGCGTAAAAAATAGTAAAAACCAATTATACATAAAGTCATGCACATACATATGTATATAATATGTACGTATGTGAAAACATAATAGCATGAAAATTATAAATGGTTAAAACAATAGCAACATAGAAAGACAAGTATTTATAAATAATTAAATACCTACATATGTATATATGTATGTACATATGCATATTTTTTGTTCATGCAAAGATTTTATTTATACATATACATATATTTATTTACATACTAGTAATAATTACAAGTCATGTAACATAAATGAAATAAAATTAAATATACGTACATACATACATGTACAAACTTACTTCTAGGTACTAGTTCTAAAAAGGGGTTTACTTGTAACATATTTACATACATATGTACATATATAGATATATTTCCTGTAATGTCCTTGAAATAGAAGAAGTGCATTTTATATAACACCAGTGAATAAAAAATTTAGAATATTATATTTTTTTCTTTATTGTATGAAGTATGAAAATTTTTACCAATAATGTATTCAAATTATTTTTTAGAATTCTTTTAACTTAAAACAACCCAGGTTTTGAATGACAAAACAATGATTTTTATTATTTTTTATGACAAAAAGTGTTTTGTAACAAAACTTTTACTTGAAAGAAGAAAACAACATTTTTGACAAAATAAAGTTGTTACAATGCCTCCTCCATTTATTTAAATAACAAAAAAATTGAGAAAACATGAATTTTATTAAATACACGTTCGATGCTTACCGCAAATTCTTTAACGTCAAAATTTTGTTTTCAGTCTGCAAACTGTCTGACGTATAAAACTTTTACGGACAGAAATGTAGTAAACTTTTTACCCGTAATTGACTTTGAATTTTGATCATCCGTAAACGTCAAAACAAAAAAAGTTTTTTTTAGATTTAAAATAATTTTATACTTACATATTAAAAATTAACAAAAAAAATATTTTTTATATTATTTTTAACGTAATGATAGTCACTCAATACATCAAATTTATTTACTGAATTACTACGTCAGACTGTCTGCATGTAAAAAAAAAAATCTACAATTTTGACGCTTAATTGACTTTTTTTAAACGTTTAAGAATTTAAACTTTGACTGAAAGTAAAAACGCAGTAGAGTATTCGTAAACTCAGACAACTCAGATTTTGTAAAATTTGAAGTTTAAGAATTTACCATTAGCTATTTTATTTTAAACTAGAAAGGCTTAATCTGCCCTCAAAATAAAATGATCCTGTAAAAAAATACAATTTAATTTATGGTTGTAAATTCTGAATAATTCTAGATTGAATTTAATATTCATTTTTCTTAATGTGTTAATGTGTGTTGCGGTTTTTATTAAAAATATAACAATTTGTTGGCTCTACATTACAATGAATAGAACATTACATTTTATTTTTTTATTTTGATTATTGTACCTTGAATTCAATTTTGTTTTAAAAAAATATAAATTGGCATTGATTCTTTAACATTTCTTTTTTCTATAAGAAGTGTCTTTCATATCCCGAACTAAAAAATATTTGTGCAAAGGGATTTTTCTAGAATTATTACAAAAATAGGTACTTATGTATGTACTATGTACGTATAATTAATAATATGAGCAGCTGTTGCATGTATGTACATTTATACAATATTATGCGAAATTTATATATACTATAGTTATAAACAATATTATACGAAACTAATATATAATAGGCCTATAGGCCCTAGATTTATGTTCTAAATATTAATATTATTATTGCCACTCAAAGTTCTTTTTTTATAAAATTTCAAGAAAATATGCTACTTATTTTCTTTTAAGATATGTAAAATCATTCGTTTCTTGGACCTGACGTACAACAGAAGCTGATTAATTTGTGTCAGCAGCAGACAGATATTAAACTTGTAATTTAAAATTGTTCATTCGGAATTAAGATACATACAGAATAATACAGGTAGACAAATTGATTTTCTTCTTCTCTTTTTGCCTTCGTCACTTATCTGGTGTCGGTTCTCTTGGTTCTGCCTCTCCAGGAATCCCTATCCTGGGGCGTCAAATTTTCCAGATTGTCATTCCTGGCGGTTGGTCTTCCTCTGCTTGTTGTTGATTCATTGATTTTAAGTTAGGCTTTTACGATATGGTTTTCGTTTCTTATCATTATATGACTGTACCACCTCAATCTCTTTTCTTTTAATTTTTCAGCGATTGGAACAACTTTGAGACTTCCTCTGATGTATTTGTTTCTTATTTTATCTTTGAGGGTTACATCACTGGACCATCTCAACATCATCTTCTCGGTAATATGTAATTTTTGTACGTGTTTGATGATTTAGAAGCATACATCATACATCTGATTGCTGTTTTGCAAACTTTTCCTTTAACTTTAGGAGGCATTTGTTTATCGCATAAAACATCCGTTAGGCTTTTCTATTTTAAACAACCAGCATTCACTCTGTGCTTGATATCCCCATCGATGTTTCCTGTTTCTGTCATACCGCGTGTAGTTCGAATCTGCGTCGTACTTCATATCTTGAATCGTAAACATATCTTGAATCAAACGTAAACATATCTTGAATAAACGTACATATCTTTCAGCGACTTTGTGTGATCTTAAAGGTTTCCACACTTATTTTGAGCTTATTTTGAACGTATGTGAAGTGAACTTGAAGCCGCGGTAATTGTCCGGCATTAATACATCGCCTTTATTTTTGCAAATTTAAAACAATTAACTTTTCCTACAAACTTCGGGTGTACTGCAGTTCTTCAAAATTTTTTTAAACAGATTTTCCTATTCATAGTCTTTTACAATAGATATTCCCCTATACCCGCCATTTTCCATACTTCCGCAAAGATTTGATTTGACAAGCCCAACAACTTTATTATTTTTCATTTTACTGTTGGCATTTCTTATTTCTTCTACAATGATTTCCCTTACTGACTGGCTATTTACTTTTTCACTTGATGTAATAGACTCTCTTGGGAATTATTCGTTTAATAATTTTCATAATAGTTAAACCACCGGCTTTTAATATCTTTGATGTTAAAATGACACCATTTTCATCTCTTACGTATTTGATTTGCTTCATAAAATTGCTTGGTGTAACGATCTTTGTGACGCTGTTTTGCAATTTTATATATGAATTTTTTTCCTTTGTTATTACTTAGTTTTCTGTATACTTCATTGTATGCATCATTTTTAGCCGCCATTTTTGCTGCATTTTTTGCTTCTTTATATGTTTGTCTATCAACGGGTGTTTTTAATTTTTACCATTCCTTAACACAAAGCTTTTGAAATCTGCTTCACATTGAGCCAGCATTTGCACTCGAGTTCATATTTCGTGCTAGATGAGCTTGTACTTCTTTCCCAATGCTTTTCCTCTCGGTTCTTTCAATTTGTACAATTTTATTCTGGGCTCTCTTTTTGATGATGTAGATCTTTTAACCAAAGATCTGCTACAAGGAGTATTGCGATGTTAACGCCTCACCCGCGGTATAACTTTTGCGCCCTTGAATTGCTTTTTCTTATGTTGATCGCAGAAAAAGTAATCTATTTGCAAACACCTATTTCCGCTTTTGTGTGTATTAAGATGCTCATTTCTTTTTGCGAAGAAGGTGCTTAAAACTTCGAGGTTGTGAGACGCAGCAAATTCTAATATATGTTGTACTTGCGTATTTGTGTCTGTATACCAATAACCTCTAAGTCATTTCTTATAGATTTTCCAATATGGCCGCTTAG